TTTTTTTTTTTTTTTTTTTTGGTATCAGGGATTGAACTTGGGACCTTGTGCTTGCAAGGCAGGCGGCGGAACCACTGAGTTAAATCCCTGGCCCATAATATTACTTATTGATACCAGTTTCTTAGAAAAAATTTAAAATTAAGGACCTACATGATATATACTGTAGTTATTCATTACGTTGTCTCTATTAAATACTTAGAAAGCACTTTACAGTTAAATTCTATCATGAAAAATGCAAAGAACAACCTTTGTAGTAACTCTGGATCAGGACTTCCTGCTGGTTCTGAGTGCCTGTTATGAGTAGTATGGAGTAACTCCCTCCTAGGAGTGTGTAAGCAGAGAGAATAAGCTTAGCTTTTGACTGGCTTCATGTCAAATCTATGGCTATCCTCAGCTTTTTGTTCAACTTCAATCATATTGCAATTTTTTAAATAAAGGAAGCAAATATATTTGAAATATACAATCATGACCTTGAATTGAATCAAAGAAAACTTATAAATTTTGAGTTTTTTTCTCCCATCTAGAAGCACTTTCCTCAGGAAACCAACTTTAACAAAGGAAAAGATCAGTTGGGAATAGTAGTGAGAGCCTTTAATCCTATGTACTCCAGAGGCTGAGGCAGGAAAATCATAAGCTTAAAACCAGCCTAGCTAGTTTAGTGAGACCCTGTCTCAAATTAAAAAATAAAAAGGATTGGGGATATTCTCATTACTCTTTGAGTTCCATCTCTAGTACAGTACAGTCAAAAAATGAAGGGAGGAAAAAGATTAGCAATTTTGCTTTTAATGTTTTAAAGAGATACCAGGCTATTTACGTGAAAAAAATATAATGTTAAATGAGAAAAGAGTCTATAAAAACTATATGTACAAACTGTGCCTGCTTTGCAAGTGCAGGTCCTGAGTTCAATCCCTGGTGCAAGCAAAAAACAAAACAAAACAAAACAAAAAATCAAGGAGAAAGATAAAGAAAAAAAAAAAACCTATGTGTACAAGCTAAGTATGGCATACACCTATAATCCCAGCACTCTGAGAAGCTGAGGCAGGAGGGTCACAAATTTCATGTTCAGCCTGGGCAAGTTAGTAATTTATTGAGACCCTGACTCAAAATAAAAGAGGTTGAGGGGATGTAGCTCAGTGATAAGGCCTTGCGTTCAATCTCCAATTCCAGGAAGGAAAAAAAAAAAGACTATATTTACACAAAAGATAACACTAGATAGTAATTAGAAGCCATATGCAGGTCAGTAGATTAATATTGTTAGGATATCTATACACTCAAAATAGTCTACAGATTCACTTCTTTAAAATTCCAATATTGTTTGTAGAAATAGGAAACCCCATCCTAGAATTAATTTGGAATATCAGTGGGCTGAAAATTGACAAAATAATGTTGAAAAAAAGCAAAACTGAAGAACTCACATTTCTGATTTCAAAACCTCCTACAAAGTTACAGTAATTGAACAGTATGGTACTGGCTTAAATACAGACATATAAACCAGTCAAATAGAATAAACATAAACTTTCCTGTGTATGGTTAACTGGTTGATGACAGCAGTACCAGGACTACCCAATGAGAAATAGCCTTCAAGGATTGGTGCTGGGGAAGCTGAATATCCACATGCACAGGAATGAAGTTGAACCCTTACCTAACAACGTTTACAAACATCAAATTCAAAATGGACCAAAGACCTAAATGTAAAACCCAACACTGTAAAAATCTTAAAATCCCCAACCTATGAATAAGTTCTGTTCTAGGAAAATGTGAGTTCGATTCGTTTGTACGTCCAACAAAGTAAACCTTAAGCTGTATTTTCGCTTTTGTTTCCATGGTTATTGATTTGCACATATAGCAGTCCCCTCCACATCACCACTGCTTTTCTTCTTACCTCCGGACATCCTGGGTTCTGATTAGCACTGTACTATTGTTCTATGGCACTGTACAGTAAATGCACAGCAGACACTGAGCTACTTCCATGATTTGTTCTCATCTGTGAATGTTCCTAATGTGAGATCTGTTCATATCTGTGAAAGTTCACAACTCAAATGATCATTAGTTGGGAACTTACTGTAGTTTGTAGCATCATAGAATCAAGAAAACTAAATATGCATATCACAAAAGTATATAGCAAGGAAACAAAAAAATGGGACAGAATGCTAGAATAGTACTCCCTCTAAACAAATGGTTAATGTCTTTCTGTTCTACAGTGTTTGCTTTGCAGTGAAAGAAGATTTATTATTTCACTGTATTTTGGGAGGCGAGAAGTTTAGGCTTATAGTGATGATTTTAAATGTTAAGTCTTCATTTTTAGCCCTGCCTTACATATTCAGGAAGAGTTGGACTTTTCAGGAGATTTGTCAACCATTACTTTGTATTTGGAAAGAATGAATATAAACTAAATTGTTATTATTTAATATTAATTAAGTAGCAAGTCCAGGTTGCTTTCGTCTCACAGTCTTATCCGTCCTTGACTAAAAAGGACAGTCTCTGATGGTCCAGCTAATGTTACCATAAAGGGAAAAGAAAACCTTGTGATTGACAACCACAGTGGCTTTGCAATGTGGATATAGATCAGAGCTTCCACTACGGCTTGCAAGCACTCAGTTGATAGTGATAGTGAGAGACTGATACAAACCCCTATCCTCAAACATTCATCACCTACGTTTAAAGAAAATTTTGCATTAGCTTCATAAATATGCAAGGCCTAAAATTTTTCTGCCTGTTTATTATTATTTTAAATTACTCCTGACTTCGTTTGTTAGCACTGCTATCAAGTATTTGCCTGTAGGCTCACAACCATGGAGCCAGTAAATAGATCCAAGGAAAGACAGTTTTCCTGGCTACAGCACTATACCTGTATGCATCTTGCATATCCCCCTATCTCCTGTCCCTGTACCCACAGCGAAGCTGCTGCCCATGCTGTCGCCACCCTGGCCGAGGCCACCTTACAAGGAGGGGGACAGATCGTCCTGTCTGGGGAAACCGCAGCAGCTGTCGGAGCACTTACTGGAGTCCAAGATGCTAATGGTAAGAGAGCATAAATATTTTATTGAATTTCTTGCCTGTTTCCACTTAAATCTTCCTGACTTGGCTGGCAACAAACCAGCAAGAGGTTGAGCCTGGTTGGAATTTTTCTTCATGGGTAGCTTTTAATGCCTAGGAAAATTTTAGGAGCTTCTAATTCTTTTCACTAGAAGAAGATGAGGTTTTCTAAAGGAAAATGCCATGCTAATGGCTACCTAATTGAAGGACTTCTTTAGAAAGTGCTGATTTTGCTGTGACAAGACTTGGTTGCTGAGAGGTACTTCAAACTTTGCTACAGGACACATTTTGTCCTTTACCCTCCTGTGAGGCAGGGTAGATCAGTGTCTGTACTATATCGGAGACTCTGCTGTTGGTGGGTGGAAGGTTCACTACTCTCTTCAGAAAGGCACCACCACATACCTGTCCCCAGGGTCAGGCAGCAGGCTGTGATGAAGGTGCTTTTCCTGTGGGTTCTCCTTCCTGTTGTACGTGGCCTCACTGAAGACACCTGGATTTAGCCAGTAACATGCCACCACCCCTTCTTTCCCAGCTCTTTGACTTCCTGGATATTGGTGAATATCCCAGTAAACAAAAGGGATAAAGTTCATAGACACTTGGTGGCAAAAACTTACAACTCCAATCCAGCTCTTTGGAGCCACTTCAGCAAGCTCTCGGAGTCAGTGGCCAAGAATTGGGCTGCCCAGGGAAGTACTTCAGAAGTCTGGGTCACAGAGGAGGACCAGCCCTGATCTGTGAGACTCTGTGATTTTTCTTGTATGTATAATTAAGCAAGACAAATTAAGTGCTCTGTAGTTTGGGAGGAAATTGTAGCTTTTATAACCTAGAAAGTGAATAAATAAAATATATACTTTTTATTTAGGCACAGAGTTCCTTCATGGTATTAGTGGCTGAAAGAGACATTCCTAGCCCCACCCCTTTTTATGGCGGTCCCTAAGGACCTGAGTTCAATCCCTGGTACCCCCCCAAAAAAAAAACAAAAAGTCTTTGCAAAAAAATCAAAAAAGAAACAAACAACAACAAAATACCACTAGAAGTAAAGGGGGAAAAGTTCTTCTGTTCTGCTAGAGAAGAATTAACATAGGAAATGCAGAGCAATTATGACTTCTGAGAATCATTTTCTTTTACAAAAAGCAAAAAAAAAAAAAAAAAAAAA